GTGGGGTACTTGGTACCAGCCTGGTACGTGGGGTACTTGGTACCAGCCTGGTACGTGGGGTACTTGGTACCAGCCTGGTATGTGGGGTACTTGGTACCAGCCTGGTACGTGGGGTACTTGGTACCAGCCTGTTAGCAAGTACCCCAGATATTTCATATAAAATAAGTTTCGTTAAGAAATCAAAAGATGTTGAACGCATAGCTTGAAAAGAGTAATTTAATGCCAAAAACTTGATAGGCAAAACTTAATATTAATATTTAATATAAAACAATAATATTTTTCAATATTTTTATGATGCAGAGTAATAATCATATATAATATAGTATAACATTGAATAATGTTGCACATACTGAATCTTATACTGAAGAAATTCAGTATAAGATTGGATATAATTACTATTATATATCAATATTTTTATGATACAGAGTAATAATCATATATAATATAGTATAATATCTATTATAATTACTATTCATATATTTCAGAGCGGTTCCAAGTGGTCATGTTCAACTCGTCGACGTTCTCCCTGGACATCTGCGAGGTGTGCGGCAGCTACCAGTGCCCCTACTGCCCTATATACTCTACTGCATCTACTGCTACTACGTCTACTGCTGCTATACTGCTACTTGTACTACTTTATTGCTACTCCTACTGCTGCTGCTCTACTTCTACGCGTCTTTATGGGAGACGCGAGGACCTACGCCTTCAGTAGCGCTGGTTCTTTGTTCAAAAACTGCGTTTATAGAGATGATTTTGGTAGGAATAGCATTGTTGTACTGAAGTTCTGGTAGGAATTACATTGCGACAACAAAGACATTGTAGAGCGCAACCCCAGGGGGTCTACATCTGGAGGGGGCATCCGTGGGGTTCCCTGCGGGGTTACAGCAAGGGGGACTTCCATGGGGCGCAACCCCAGGGGGTCTACATCTGGAGGGGGCTTCCGTGGGGCGCAATCCCTGCGGGGTTACAGCAAGGGGGACTTCCATGGGGCGCAACCCCAGGGGGTCTACATCTGGAGGGGGCTTCCGTGGGGCGCAATCCCTGCGGGGTTACAGCAAGGGGGACTTCCATGGGGCGCAACCCCAAGGGGTCTACATCTGGAGGGGGCTTCCATGGGGCGCAACCTCCTGGGGCTACAGCAAGGGGGACTTACATGGGGCGCAACCTCCTGGGGCCCTGGAAAGCCCCTTTCAGGGCCCCAGGAGATTCTCTCATTGTTTTGGCCTCGTAAAATTATTCATTAAACTGATAATCTTATATTATTTGAGACGTAACAGTCCCAGGTCACGCTGCAACCCCACCTTCGCATCCTTCCATTACGTTTAAACGAACAAATTGTCCAACATTGCGGAAAAAATGAAGCCTTTTCCGTATTTCAGGCTCATTCAAGTTACAACACAAGTAAAACGATAGCTTTTAATTAATATTGTTATTATTAGCATTATATATTAAAATTGTTCGCGTTTAATGTTAGTAAAGTTCCGGTTTCATCGCGTCAGGAGCTAAAGTTATGCGTGGTGTCCCGTGCGTGGTGCGTGGTGCCCCGTGCGTGGTGCGTGGTGCCCCGTGCGTGGTGCGTGGTGCGTGCCAAAATCATTTCGTGGCTAACAAACTTGGTTTACACGGAAGGCCACAAACGAAAAATAGTTTCATCGAAAAATTTCACCCTACATTTTATTTCTATTTAAGTTGATCTTCCTAAATTTTTATTGTTAATTAACTAACAACAATATTATTTTTATATTGATTTATAATAACAAATACCGTACTTAAACTCATGGTTCTTCGTGATAATGACTTAATGATCACAAAAATACGGGCTCTTACATAGGTTAAAGTTTAAGCTCAAGTTCAACTTGTATGTTGTAGGTTTAATGTTGATATTATGTTGAATAGAAGTGATGATGTAGTTTATAATTAGTGATGATAAAGGATATAATTAGTGATGATAAAGGATATAATTAGTGATGATAAAGGATATAATTAGTGATGTAACATTTGATTCCGTCCAGCCTGATACCGTCCATTCCGTCCGTACACTCATGCAAATAAGGGACATTTTGTCCAATTTTGTCCGATTAATGATTCACTTTCTACCCTTTTTTATGGGTCATTCTGACTCAATTTGACCCGGTTTAAAGGGCGGGGTATCAGTGCTACCGTTCGTGCTGTGGGTTAGAAAGTGTGTCATAAATTTTGATTTATAAACATAATAAAAAAATAACATAATAAAATAAAAAAATAAAAACATAAATTTGGACAAAAAAAAATAATTTTTTTGTGTGTGTGCTGCATATTGACTCATATTAATTGAAAATAATATGATGAAAGGGATTCATCATTAGTTTAATGTGGGATAATGATTATTTTAAATGATTGTTAAGTATAGTGTCACAAACAAGTGTGTCTCGTTTTATTTTCCTACGTAATATACCTCTTTAATTACCGATATAATTATTGAATATTACGTTTATTCTTTATTAAATAAATCAAATATTAGTAGCGTCAAATATTATACCAATTTTGTTCCTTTCGATTAATTAATAAATTATTAATTAATGAAAGAAAAACGATTAATGAAAAATTTCAAATTAATACTTAGCGTGGACTCGAAATTACTATATTACTACTGGCATCTAACATATTATTATATTATTAATTAATATGTTACTTCTGGCATGTAGTGTATTAATAAATTAATAAATTAACAGTTAATATAATTAATATATCGGTAAATTATTAAACAATATATTCAGCATCTAAATAATAAAGGAACAGTAAGAAACTTTGAAATTATAAACTGAGTATTATTAATCAAGTTATTCATTAAAATTAAATTATTCATATATGCTAGAATAATTAGGATTCCATATAACAACATACGCTGAAATCTTTCTGAAACTTATAAGACTCGAGTAAAGTGACTTAGAATATATAATAATATATTCTATATATCATATTATATATATATATATAAATAATATATCATCGAGACTTGCTGGAATGAGATAACAGCTGGAATTTCCCAGCTGTTATCTCGGTTCTAAATTTCCCAGCTGTCATCTCAGTTCTAAATTTCCCAGCTGTCATCTCAGTTCTAAATTTCCCAGCTGTCATCTCAGTTGTAAATTTCCCAGCTGTCATCTCGGTTCTAAATTTCCCAGCTGTCATTTCGGTTCTAAATTTCCCAGCTGTCATCTCGGTTCTAAATTTTCCAGCTGTCATTTCGGTTCTAAATTTCCCAGCTGTCATCTCGGTTCTAAATTTTCCAGCTGTCATTTCGGTTGTAAATTTCCCAGCTGTCATTTCGGTTCTAAATTTCCCCGCTGTCCTCTCGGCTCTAAATTTTCGTGTTTTATCAAATTTTCGTGCATCATGCACTTACTTCCAACATAATTTCAGCAATAAATGCTTCTTATAACTCGAAACTTAATATTATTGTTTTCGAAACGTCGTTAATAAATTTAAATTACTTCCTTAAACCTGCATTTTGATCAGCAAACTTCATCTGAATAATCGTTTGGCCCTGAAAATTTCGATGAATACTCTGGTGGTTAAAAGTTTAAACCATTTAACCCTTACTTAGTAAAGCTAGGGCAAATAATATAATATAATAGCGGTTTCAGCGTTTATTTAGGCCGTAGGCCTGTCGCCGATTCTTGACATACCATAACATTCACAGCTTGTTGCGGTCTCGAACTCGCAACTCACTGCTACAATTCTGCTGTGCTTAACCGCCCGGCCTCCTTGCCGATTCTGACCAGAAACTGGCGCACAGAGCTGGGATCGAACTCGCACCTCTCTGCTCCAATCTTGGTACTCAGGGCCTATACTTTCAAAAAAAGTTAAGAGATCGGAAGTTCACCAGCCAATCATTGACGGCTTTTCAAGCAAAATCCACCAATCATAGACAAGAAAATAGAGCGTAAGTACTTACGTTCACTTAATGATAGACAAGAAAATAAAGCGTAAGTACTTACGTTCACTTAATGATAGACAAGAAAATAAAGCGTAAGTACTTACGTTCACAAAGCGAGTTTTGAAAGTAAGGCCCCTGAACTGTAACCACTGGGAGACCCTGCCCCTTAAAATGAGATGACAGGTAAAACAGAATGGGATGCTGTCTCACTGGAAGAAGTCAGTACCGTATACGAAATGATGAAGCGAGTGATCAGCGAAGTCTAATAATGGACATACGGCTCTTAAAACTCTGAATAAAGATTGGAGGGTTAACTTAGAGGAAGCTATACATAACTTCAAACGCCATTAGCTAAAATTTTCGAACTTTCAATTTAGAACTCAAATTACAACGTAGAGTAGACCAGATCGCGGACCTTCGAATATCGTTTGACATGGCGTTCATTTACCTCAAAGCTTTGCTGATAGACCGCTACCCTCGTCCACTCCCATCGTCTACTGCCATCGTCCGCAGCCCTCGTCCACTGCCATTGTCTACTGCCCTCGTCCACTGCCATTGTCTACTGCCCTCGTCCACTGCCATTGTCTACTGCCATCGTCCACTGCCATTGTCTACTGCCATCGTCCACTGCCATTGTCTACTACCATCGTCCGCAGCCCTCGTCCGCTGCCCCCAGGACAGACCGCAGCTCAAAACAATATTCGTCGAATGGTCAATGTTACACTTAGGACAATAACTGGATTCTCTTGAACAAGGTTTGAGCTATGGCTGTTCAACGTATCTTCTTTTAGTTAATAATCGATTCTTTCCTCATGGCCAACGTTAGAGAGGAAATCGTGACGATAAGCAACCCTGAACAACTTGAGCGTCGAGCAACTTAAGCTTTTGTCGTTGACTTTGATGAATTTGGTCATAAAACTTTTTGTTCGGTGCTCATCGACGTAATTGTATTCATCACGTTGGCTGAATTTACAATCTCATAGAGATGATCTTGTCATTGATGCGGCAGATCTCGCAAAAATAATTCAATATTTTGAAATTTGACAAGTGTGGTCAAGATGCTGCATAGCAGGCCCGCCTCGTAGGACGCAACGGATACCAAAAATTAGATAACATTTACGACCTGTCTAGTCAGTCACTCTACTCGTGGCCGCTGCTTTGAGGAAACCTCGCTGCCCTGTAGCTCTAGTCGTGTCCTAAAAGTGTCATAGCGGTCTTAATAATGTTTTTTTGTTATGAGTTACCAGCGGAGCTTGTCATAATACTTGACAAGCGGTTCTTCACTTCACGGAGATAAGCCAAAAAGTACCAGTCGTACTCACTGCAATCCAACAATCTAAATATTCATGTATAACAAATCAGGATATATTGCTCATACCTGAAATTTCATTTTTAAAATACTAATTTGTTATTATTATCTGTTTTATCTGTTTTCAATAATTTTGTTTTAATTATGCCGCATTTAATGCAGTAAAGGAATAAAATATTTATTAAAGTGCAAGCACCCATCATAGTATGAATATGCAATATTAGCAATAGGTATTTTCAACCATGGGTATTTTCAGTGTGAGACCAATTTAGAAGAAGCTGAAATAACTTAGATGTTGGCAACCGCACCCAGCGGCCATCGCGTGTTAGGCCTATAGGCTACTCATTGTTTGTCACGTCGGGCAGCGGTAGGTTCTTTTACTTTTTCCGAGTTGCTGCGTTATATTAAATTAATAATTGTGTAATCGTCGAAGTTACCATTTTTGCCCTCAAGTTTTGTGTTCATCCCTATTGAGGTATGTTATCTAACCTTAGACAATTTATTCAATAAAATCAGATTTGCTCATTTCATGATTCAAGTTTATAGGGTACCTACCCTTGTCATGCCAGATTGCCAGTGAAGCCAGTCTTGGTTGTTGCTTTGATGGATGAAATCATGAAACTGAAAGGTCGTTACTGGAAAAAACGTTTGCTATGACAATTATTTTATTTATTATTAATTAGTATTATATCTATATATAGGCTAGGGGCCCTACTGAGTACTGCCCTAGGGCAGTAGGCACTTGAATCTCAATTTTGCATTATGCTTATGGGTTACAAGCTTACAGCCCTACCTGGCCTACCAACCCCTTTCACGCTTTCAGCGTATAATTTTTTCTTATAGTTCTACACACCCTACCCCTCCCATAGCCTGTAGTACGGTACCTACCTAGACTCCAGTCAGCACTTCTCATTTGCCAGCTGCAGTTCCCATCTGCAACTAGCCAACTACTCCTATATAGATATTTCTACCTCCATGGCTCCTATATAGATATTTCTACCTCCACGGCTCCTATATAGATATTTCTACCTCCACGGCTCCTATATAGATATTTCTACCTCCACGGCTCCACCTACACTGTAACTAAATATTTCTACCTCCACCTACACTGCGACTGCAACTACTCCTATATAGATATTTCTACCTCCACTTATACTGCAACCACTCCTATATAGATATTTCTACCTCCACCTACACTGCAACTACTCCTATATAGATATTTCTACCTCCCACTACACTGCAACTACTCCTATATAGATATTTCTACCTCCACTACACTGCAACTACTCCTATATAGATATTTCTACCTCCACTACACTGCAACTACTCCTATATAGATATTTCTACCTCCACTACAGTGCAACTACTCCTATATAGATATTTCTACCTCCACTACAGTGCAACTACTCCTATATAGATGTTTCTACCACCACTATAGTGCAACTACTCCTATATAGATATTTCTACCTCCACTACACTGCAACTACTCCTATATAGATATTTCTACCTCCACTACACTGCAACTACTCCTATATAGATGTTTCTACCTCCACTACATTGCAACTACTATATAGATATTTCTACCTCCACCTACAGTGTGGAGGTACATCTACATGTGTGCAGACCAGGCAGCTGGTGCTAGGTGCAAACATCTTCCTCCTCATAGGTGAGTCTTATAATCCTTTATATTTTCCATGCTGCTATTACCTATCACTATGCTCAACCTTATTTCCACTGACAAAAAATCTATTTATCTCAATTTCAAAATTAATTTTTTTATGGTTAAAAATATATATATGTGTGCAATACTCAAACTATTTTCATATCATTAATTCATTGGTATGAATTTGTAGTTAATATTTTGCTGCTTGTGAAATTATTATTAAAACTCAGAAGTTATATCATATATACAGATAATGTTTAATTTTACTACATTATGCTTTGTGTACAGTTTGGGTGGAAAATTTCAGCAAGAGGCTGTGGTCTGTGCCACTTGCGCTGCTCAGCCCTGGATGCTGTAGAATGTGGGTGCATCACTACATTCTAAGGTGACAATAAATATTTCATGTTATTGAATTTATGTTGTTTGCTCATATTTCTGTTAGGTTCATGTATTCCTTCTGATCTTCCACATACCATGCTATGCACGCTGAATTTGAATTTTTACGCAATAATATTTTCTCGCTTAATGGATTTCCGGCAAGTTTGGTATTTACCCAAATCAAGAAATTCATGTCGAAGCGATACTGTGAGGTTGCTCCTGAGCGCGATAGTAGGAAAGTTATTTATTGTTGTGGCCTAGGCACCGCTGCTGGCTTGGTCCTGTGGCCTAGGCACCGCTGCTGGCTTGGTCCTGTGGCCTAGGCACCACTGCTGGCTTGGTCCTGTGGCCTAGGCACTGCTCAAAGCTGTTGGCAAGTAGGGTGATGATAATCAGTATTTATCATTATGTGAGTGGTGATAATTGGGATGATGAGATCGTTAGTATTTCTCCCTAAGGACATTTTTACAAATAAATATAGCCTATTAAAGTTATCATGATTTTGTTACAGATAATTATTCAGTAAAATAAATTAAATAAATAATTAAATTAATCAATTTTAATCAATTTCTAATATTTTTTCCTACAGTCCTCGGGCATCGATTCAGCTTCAAGATGATATCTCCACACCTCCTATACAGGGATCAGAAGATGAAGTGCAACCATTGATATCTATTTATTCTCCGGTTGCTTGGAGGCAACCTTTAAGATAAGCGTCTTATTTTTGCGTTAAATCGTTTGAAAATTGCAGAAATTTGTTACAGAAATGTCGGAATCACAGAAAGAGCCTTTCTTCCCTTTTGACAAGGAAGGACCCCTAAAAGAGCTCAGGGGACTCTTTGAAAAAAATGTGTTATTCCGTGACCACTCTGCCAAGCTCGTCTACTTTATACGCAAATGCCATCTGACCTTTGAAGATGTCAAAGATTTCACCGTGTTCGTTTCTGGTATTAAGAAAACTTTCAAAGGCAGATTTTATGATTATTTGCAGTGGAAATGTGCTAGCCAAAAACTGCTGCGTCTTCTATGCATTGCTTATAAGCATCTCTCTCGGAACAGTGGCGACGCTGCAGTGGATCCTACCAGAATTTTCAAAGTTATCGTTTGGCTGGAGAAGTGGAAAAAAAGTGTTATAAACAATGAACTTGTCATGCCGCTTGTTCGTGATTTGGTCACATATAGTCCTGCACTCGGTAATAAGCGGTCTAAGCTGAAAAAATTGGTCAATGATTTGTCAGAAGTGAATCCTGACAAAAAATCTTCACTTATTACAGCAATAAATAACAAAGCCATTCACGAGAGAGAAAAAACTAGGAATTCTACTAAGCTGAAATTTTCATCAGTGGTGCCTAAGGTACGGAAGAACCTACAGGTTGTGAGCCGAACAATACAAACTGTCAAGTCTAAGCACGAGGAGAAGAATTCCGAGGAAACTGACTTCAAGATCTTGGACTTGAGTGAACGCATCAAGAGGCAGCAGCGCAGGATCCAATGCAACACTTCTCAGGACAAAATATTAACTGAAAATGGTCAAAGTGGTGATGACAGGTCTTGGTGGAGAACCACTTGGGAGGAAACAGTTAACCTGTATACCCGCGTCGTTTGCGAGGGACGAGTGATCAAGGATGATGACAAAGATAACTATTTGCCTGGCAAATTCCTCTGCTCAGACTCGCACTGTATATTCAAAACTGATGTCTTCGATGGTATTGGTTTTTATTCTACACTCAAATTATATTCGTTCTTCATCAATAGAATGTGCGCGTCTGTTTTCTTGGAAGTGTCAAAGAAACAGCAGCTCAGTAGCAGAACAATTGAGAAGCTGTTGTGGTGCGTTACAGATTTGGACAGCCTCGTTTCTGTCTTGGAATTGCCGGAAAACTTTGAGGAAAAGATTGCGACAGCAGTACAGAAGGATTACTGGCGCATCAAAAATATTAAAGACCCGGACATCTTCCACCGTTTTGTGAAGAAAATTATTGATAAAACCTTAGAAGAGTACACGGAATCTGTTTTATTCCTTTTCTCCAAAACTGGAGTGAGAGAAAAATATTACAGCAAGGAAGAAATCAAGGGGATCATCAGGCAGGAAATGCACAAGGTCAGGCAAGATGCCATCGAAGCAATTCACAACTGTGTGCGCAGGGACAAGAAAGTTTTGGATCGATGGGCAGTGCAGCAACTTCAGGCCTATCTGGAGCAGCCAAGAGAAGATTTTCCTGAATTTGTAAGCATCATTTACAATCTCATTGATGTTGCCGATTCAAATGATGATACTAACTATGGAGAAACTTTTAAATTATACCTTGATAGATTGGGTTCTGAGCCTCAGGATTCTGTTGGCGTCTTACTCAGGTTCATGCACAATCAAGCTCGAGACAAAGAAAGGAGCAAAATTTTGTTTACGGAGGAACGCATGAGAAAACTACTTGGACTTGTGAATGACGATTCTTGGCGTCTTGAGAACAAGTTGAAGGTCCTGAAGATGATCAGCTCCTGCCTGCAGCATCAGCACGAAGCCCTGAGTGATGACAACTTGGCAAAAGTCCTTGACATTTGTTACCAGTCAAATGATGCCCGTTTGATCAATTCAGCGTTGACGGTTGTGTTGTTGTCTACAGATATAAGCAAGTCAAAGGTATGGGACAATCAATGGCGAGATGGCATTATTGATAAGCTGATGGCAAAGTTTGAGCTGATCAAGGCTGACATGGAAGAATGCAGCAGCTTCATCGTGTTCATTCTGAGTAAGTTTCTCTGCTACTCGGATGCCTCGAAACCTGCATGGATTGTTAAGCCTCGTCTCATCGAGTTGGTATCGAGCAAAATGTTGAGCAATCATTTGGTTGAACTCGATCAAAACGGCGATGAAATTGTCAAAATTGTGACACCAGAGCCTGGAATGGCAGGCAATGGCACTGCAAACCAAATTTCATTGCTTGCCACAATGATGGTTGAGAGATCAGTGAAAAGGGGCGTAATTGTGAGCTCTGTAACAATTGACAATCTCTTTCTTGTTTTGGAGTCTCAATGCGAAGATGGAAACAAGCAGACACAAATCACGGCTGCCAAAACTTTGTACAGACTCGCAGAATACCTTAAGTTTGATGATGTGGTTTTGCAAAAGTTGCTGAATTTGATCAACTGCCCCATCTATGATGTGAGTGTGTATGTCCGAGCAGCTTATGTGAAGGCATGTGTGAAAATGGCTTGTGACTCATCTGTGCTTCTCAATCCATTACACTTGGATAACTTGTGTGAACTCTACGTTCCTGAGAGTATGAAGCTGGGTGAAGTAGATTATGAGGGTGAAATCAACACAAACCTCTTCAATGTGCTGATACATGAATCTCTGAAACAGCAATTCAATGATAACATTTTCCTACTCTTCGATACTGTATTGGAATTAAGCCAGAAATATACCTCACAGATACTGGCCGTTCTGAAGGAATATTCCTCTGCGTTTACTTTGCCACAAGCTACTGTCAGAACAGTGGAAAAACTTCTGGCAGTGCCAGTGTACCTTGAAGATGCCTTCAGCGTGCTTTATTATGTTGTTCTCCGTGGAAATTCAGTGGTTTCAAGCAAGACTTTAGACGTGTTTGTAGACTTCTTATACACATCGTCAGATGACAAAATGAGAGCCAATTGCTACTTTATACTGCATATGGCATCGGAAAACCAGGATCTGTCTGAAGACGTTTTTTGGAAACTTGAACTTGACAAAGCTATACTTACATTAAACAGTGCAGATAGGTCCACGTTGCTTGAATTTATTCAAGGGTGTATGGACAGAGGAATGAAGCTGCCAGTTGACACTCATCTTGAGGAACAAATTTGTGACATTTTAGTGCTGAAAATTTTTGCCAAATCCTCAAGAAACAAGCAAATTATTTCTGAGCATCTACTGCAGGCACTGATAGAATTGTTTATGGTCGATCCTAATTCTCCTTCCGAAAGGGACGTTACAATGGAAATGAAATTGGTCCTTGTTACAATTTTTGAAAATGCTGCTAAAAACAACCAGACTTTGCCTAATTATTTACTGGAAAGACTTGAACTCGATCTGAGAAAGGTAGAAATGGAGCCAGGCATTCTCAGAGTGTTCATATATTTGGCCCAAAAAGGTGAGGAGCTCTCACCAACCATCAAAAACAAATTGTTGGACAAGCTCCTCACTGAACCATGCACAGGTTTGAAACAGGAACTACTCAGTTGCTTGGGATCACTCATTGAAGCCAACATAGTCAAGAGCAGTGACGACCTGTCAAGAGTGAATCAAATCTTGATACAAAACATTGGTTCAGACAACCGCAACATACACAAATTGTGCATGAATGCTCAACGCAAGCTGGTCAAGGTTTGCCAAACAATGGATGAGGGCCTGCTCCAGAAACTGGTGGACATTGGGACAGCATCTACCTGCAACAAAAGTGTGAGAATTGAAATTGAAAAGCTTTTTGAGTCTATCGACGAGAAATACAACCCTGTCATTCTCCAGAAGCAGTACAAGCAAAAACTACAATTGGCCAACTTGAACGACAGTTCTCCAGAGGGTTTGCTTGCTGAGTTGTTGAAACTCAATGAAATCCAGAATGATGGATTGCTTGAACAAAATTATCTGCAGATCAAGCAGGTGATTGACAATGGAGACGTACAGCTTCAAGAGGCAGCTTTGTTACTTTTGGGTCAGATCAAGTGCAAAGAAAACGTTGCTGATGAATTGCTGGAGAGCGTCGCCCTTCTAGCTGAAAGCACAGTATCACAAACGTTGAGAGAATCCTGCTTGCAACTGTTGGACGCGGTAGTCGACAGCGGCAAGACCTTGAGTGGTAGGGCATTGCAGGTGAGGAAGGCGGAGCTGAATAAAGGTACCGATGTACAGCAGACATTACTTCAAGGTTCTCTATGCAAAGAACTCAAGCAGGAGTTTGAACTAACTGACGAAACTTTGTTGGAATTGCTTCTGTTGGTCCCAGCAAGCCAGCGTGACAGTAAGATTGGAAGTTCGGCAGATTTTCTCCATTTAGTGATCAGTGAAAATTCTGACTATGCCGTGAACAAATCTTTTGCCATGCTTGTTGAGAAATGCTTGCTGCAGAAAAAGCTTTTGGTGATAACTCTGCCATGTTATTGTAGAATCATCAAAGAACAGATGTGCTGCAATGTTGTTGAGTGTTTAAAATCGTTGGTTCAACATTTTCATGAAAATGAATCACATTTGCCACATCTGCATCCCCGCCTTTTTGAAGCCATGTATCATGCGCAAAAATTGCAACAACTTCCTGATGATTTGTTGGAAGTTGCTATGGCGAACCTAAATTGCGATAATGGAAATATCAGAGGTTACTCTTTTGGAATTCTCAGATTTTCAGCAGAGGATAAGTGGAAGAAAGCGACGACCGTCTCTTGTGATAGGATGCGAGTCATTTTTGATGAATTGCAAGTAGAAATAAAGGAATCTGACCTCGTTGACTTGATAGAGACCATCATGTTCCTCAAGTTTTTTGACATTGGGGTTATGTTGAACGCTAAAACGGAAACATGGAAGAGAGACTTGTTGATTTCCAGCATTTTCCGAAGTTTCGATGTAGTCCAGCTGGAGCAGATGGAGTTTTTGGGAAGTTGGTATATTGTTGAAGAAAAATTTCAGTACGACGAATCGTGTAAAATCCTTGCTTTGATTCATAATAGTGATTTCAAACATTTTTCCCAGGTTCTTGAACTTGTTTCCATCCTCCCTCAATTAAAATTCGATGATGTCTTGCACCAATTGAATATTCATTCCCCAGAACCTTTTGAAGCACTGAAGCAATATTGGTGCATCAGCCAGATCAAAGAACATTCCTTGCAAAGAGGAGGCATCACTGATAAGTACGCTAAGGTAATGGCTGGTAAGCTGTGTTCCAACTTCTGTACGCTTTTCATCCAGGAGCTGTTTTCCTGTCTGCAGTCAATTGATAATCTGGCTGCCTTTGAGAGTCTCGTTGAATTTTGTGCAGAAAAGGAAAAGGCGATTGTCATCAGTGACATTGAAGGCCTCAGGTGCGATCACGTCGAAGACTTGTTGCACCGTGTGCAAGAGAAGCGTCTCTTGAAAGCTGTCATATTTCAGCCGAAAAACAAAATTGAAGAAGATAAATTTCAAGCAATTATTCGAGCTCTTCGCAACGCTGGGCTGAATTTCAGTCAATTGCTCCAACTCCTGACAGCTTACAGGCCTAGTGGGCTATACAACAAGTTCTACGACTTGCTAGATTTGTTGAAACTCATCCATGATAACAACTTAGTCTCATCTTCTTGTATTGAAAAGTGCTTGCAACTACTGAAGGAAGCAGAGACTTTCCTAGATGCCCTACGGAACCTTCACAAACTTGCAGTAGAGAACCTCTTCCAGCTCGAGGGCAAGGAGAGAGATCTCCACGAACTTCTGGCGGAGTTAAAAGAAAAAAACAAACTGGTGCCATTCATAGAAGAACTCGCGCAGGAAAATTCGCTCAACATCCAGCAAAATATTTTCAAAGAACAGTCGGAGAAATTGAAATGGAATGAAAATCAGATAAACGAGTGGGCAAAACACATCAAAACTAAAAAGCGGACATTTTCAGACTATGAAGCAATTGCAGTAATTCTCCGAGCCAACTTCCTCATCACTGGGTACACTCTCACCAACACCCAGATGCTCTGCAGTCTGATTGCCTTGAAAGGAGGGGAAATGCCCCGAGGAAAGTTACTTCAAGTGGCCACAGGCGAGGGCAAGTCCACAATCATTTCCATCCTAGCCATCATATTTGCGTTGAGAGGCGACAAAGTTGACGTCATCACAAGCTCACCAGTTCTAGCGGAAAGAGATGCCAAGCAGCAGGCCAAGCTGTACGGAATGTTTGGTCTCACCTGCTCTGATAACAACGACAAAACTGTCTACCTGAAGGGCAGGAAGGATTGTTATCTTTCTGACATTGTTTATGGCGAAATGTCGCAGTTTCAGTTTGACGTTCTCAGGGACAATTACAGCAAGTTAGGCACACTAGGTGGGAGAAAATTGAGTGTGGCTCTTGTGGACGAGGTAGATAGTATGTTGGTAGACGACAGTTCAAAGATTGCCCGCTTGTCGTCAACGGTCCCAGGAATGGATCATTTTCATGCTCTTTATGTCTTCATTTGGCAGTTCCTAGTCTCTATCAAAAACCAGTTCATCATGTGCAACAACAAGTTGTACTTTCTTGAGGGCAAAGTTGAGTTTGAAAATGATAAAATCACTTTGGAATTTGCAGATGAGAATGGTGATGTCAAGAAAATCCCAGATCTGGGAGCCTACTTTGCGCTAGCTGGGGACCAAAGTATAATTGGTGAGGCTGTTGAAGATGTGGACAAGTTCCTTAAGGACTATCTGGAGCATTACCTCGATGATCAGATACAACAAAATCAGATCTACATCCCGAGCAATTTTGCTGACTTTGTGAAGAAACAAAAGTCAAAGTGGATTATAAATGCTGTGGAGGCATTGAACTACCAGGAAAATGTCCATTATGTTGTCCAAAATGGAGAAATAAAACCTGTTGACTTCCACAGCACGGGCATTGTTCAGGACTCCACCAACTGGAGTGATGGCTTACATCAATTCCTGCAACTGGAGCACAACTTGAAAATGACCAGTGAAACCCTCACTACCAACTTTCTTTCCAATGTGGGCCTCATAAAAAAATATAAAATGGTATGTGGACTCACGGGAACTCTTGGGTCGGATAACTGTCGGGATTTTCTGGCAAGTGTTTACTCGGTAGATCTTGTAAACATCCCTCAGAAACGCGAGAAGCAATTTGTACAACTTGATTCCATTGTAGCTCACAATGAGACCAGCTGGCTTGAGGAAATTAGGTGCAACATTATGTTAGAGTCTGATAAAGGCAGGGGAATTTTGGTAGTCTGCGAAACGATTGCTAACGCAAATCTGATCCATGGCATATTGAACGAGAAGCTGCCGCCAAGCCTAATTAAGGTGTACTCTATGAATAACATGAATCAGGAGAAGAATGTGGAGAAAGTTCGACGTGGACAAGTCATTATTGCCACGAACTTGGCTGGTCGAGGTACCGACATACAAACTGACGATATTGAAGCTACTGGTGGCCTACATGTCATCCTCACGTTCATGCCAAACAACCAGAGGGTCGAGGATCAAGCTTTCGGTAGGACCTCAAGACAAGGCAAGCGTGGCACTGGCATAATGATCCTGAACGCCCAGAACCTGGATGGCTATTCTACCAACACAACCGAATGGACCACAGAGGCTATGAAAGCTCAAAGAGATGAAATAGAATCACAGCAAATCAAGACTTTCCAAGAAAAGGAACTCAAACTTATTGAAGTTAAAGACAAACTCTTCGACACATTTTGCTTGTTCTTGAATGAAGTAAGACTAAAAATCAGGAAAAAGACCAACACCTTCGGTAGAAAAGTGCGCAGTTTGTTCACTGATGTTCAGCCTACAGTATACGAGTGCTGTGTGTTGGCAGCTATTGAAGAGCAATGGGCAGGTTTCCTTAGCAAACTGGATGATGGAGTCATAAAGTGTGACGCAGCAGAAGAAGAATGCAATGCTTTAATTGGTCAGCTTAGTAATGACTTCAAAGACAAGAAATTGATAAAAAATCCATACTATTTCATTGCTATTGCAAATGACTTGCTTGTAGAGAGCTCTAAGCCTGAAGAAGCTCTGGAGGTTTTCGAGCAAGCAGTGGAGTTGGAACGCAAGTCTCAGCAAAAAAAACATGATGAAATACATAACAATGTAGCTGGTGACAAGAGGAGCCATTCCAAACGGTTGGAAGCTAATTCAGAAAAAGATGAAATCGAAATGTTCTCACCAGGAGCTGCACACGTGGGCATTGCCTGGTGCTTGCTGCTCCTGAAGTCGGCGAACTACAAAGACAAGGCTCTGGCATCATTCAAAGTTGCTCTGAAATGTCTTGCAAATGAGATGAGTCTGCTCAATGCCACGCAATTGCTCCTGGAGCAAAAACAGCAAAAACATGCTGGATTCGTCAACAGCCCACTATACCAGCAACTGACCACAAAAGCGACCATATTAGGCTCCTACATGAGCGGCGTAGATGCTGCTATAAATGCTATAAAGAGATCCAAACGGATGATGGACCTGGTAGCAGTCAAGCGGCACACCGTCACTGCTAACGAGCCTTGCGTCTTAGAAACTCGCACCCACCACCACGAGCTTGAAAGATGTGAAGAAAACAAGAGCCAATTCAAGGATGAGGAGAGCCTGGAACTGAGAAATGGAGAAAGATACTCGCTTATTTTCAACCACTTGACCGTCAGGCAAGATTCGGGGACGATTGATCAGGCATTGAAAACCATCTTTTTCGCCGATAAAATTGCTGAAACTAAAATCAACCTGTACAAAGTCGACTTGGAACACGATCTCTTCAAGTCGTTGAATAACAACGGCATGCCAGATGCCATACTGCATGTTGAATTGCAGGACTTGAGTCACGAAGTAGCACTAGAAAAGCTCAAATCTGTCAAGGCCGAGTTAGTCCATGTTGGAATTATCCTCGACAAATCAGATTTGTTGAAGCTCTTAGAGCTCAATAAATCACTGGAAAGTGGCGTGCTGATTGTCAGACAAAGTCAGGTTCATGAAAAAGTCAATCGAGAAGAGTTGGAAGCACGAGTACGTAAGCTTCAAACTGAGCATTCTCTTTGCTACGTTAGATTCGAAGACCTGAAAACTGTCCAAGCACAGAATATTGTCGAGAACTGCTGTAAAGATGCACAATTTGTCCTTTCCTTCTGCAATATCAGCAATTTCAATGACAGTGAACTCAAGGAAGGGCAAGTTGACTTCAGTTTTGATGGATTAGACTGGGCTGATGCAAAACTTGTTATTCAGAGGCTAAGAAAGGAGAAATTAGAATTTTCCTTGGAATTTATGGAGTTGTCAGACAATGGGGTGCGATACATCTTGGAACGTGCTGCGTTGGAACAAGAAGACATGACGATAACCAAAGTTAAGAATATTTGTGATGTGTTCATGCAAGATTTCTCCCCCACATATGAATTGAACCAGTTCATCTCCAGAGGCCTTGAGCACATCGTTGAGATAAATGAAAAATTGTTTGTTCCGTGGTGTAGTGTGGCTGCAGTGGCAGTGCTCGGCCTTGGCCAAATAGCATTAGGTGGTGTGTTGATGGCCACTGGGTTCGGGATATCGATGGGCATGTCAGTGTTGACAGAAGGCCTGGCTGATGCGTACTTTGCCTTCAGAGCACATCAAACAAGACAGTTTAGCTGGATAGACTACTGCCAACAAAAAGCTGTGAGTCTTGCATTGACAGCTATTACAATGGGTTATTCGAAATTTAAAGAGGGTGTGAAAGGACTGAAGACACTGGCTCCTGGAATAGGCGTTAAGGAAGCTGGCACACGGATCATTTCTAACGGCAAGTTAGCTAGTCAGACTATTTTAACTACGGGCAAGAATCTTAAAACTGTGACTGCCAAAATTGTGTGCACCAAGACTGTAGAGGCCGTTGCAAGAGAAGGCTTGAACACTGTCATCCAACACTTGTCAAACTTAACCTTTGCACTCCTGAAGCCGAAAATCTGTGAGGCAGTACAGTCAAGGGTTTTTTCTGCGTTTCACCGGCCTGAACTCTTCAGTTGTTTGGGCAAATTTTTTGCGAGTGATTTGTGCCAGTTTAAAACTAAAATCAACAGCCTTGTGGGGGAAATTCTCAACCCTCTACGGGGCTTTATGCGAGGACTGTTGGACTCAGTTTGTTTGCCATTAATCAAGGGCGTCCTCTCCGACTCGAACAGGTTTGGAAGCCTCCCAAGCTTGGTCATCCGAACTTTTTCTACTCTCAATGGAGTGCACAAGGTGCAAACGCTGGCTGACGATGTTTTGAATGAACTCAAGGAAAAGCTTATTGTGTATGACAAGAACTTCCTGACTATCAGCTCCATTCTGCAAAAAAGCTTAAAGATATCCAAGAAAAATGCCGATGTCTTTTCCAAAAATCTGAAAAAGCTTGAGATTATTGATCAAAATGACAACTTCTACATACCACACAGTGATGTGCATAGCAGTGGCAGGAATGCGAAAGCAAGAATAGACAACTTGTCAGATGCTTGGATAAAATCGCCAAGTAAAATAGTGGATGAATTATCTGGGCAGCTCACTGACAGCACCTCCTTGCAGGCGGATATACAAAAAGGCATCGTTTTCATCGGCGAATTGTATGAAAAAATTGTTGCTGTTGATATGGACTCTTTCAACACTACAATTAAGTCTGTTTCGGACCAGATATCTGAACAGTTGGTAAGGATAATGGATTCACAGATCTTGCAACCATGGACAACAATGGCTGTTAGCGGCCTCACAGATGCCATTTCCAAGCGACTGCAGCACTACGTTTTTGTGAACAAAAAAGATCAATCTGAGAGTCAAAAGGCTGACCAAAAAAAGTACCAAAAACTTCTGACTAAAAAAAATTTGTCAGCCGACGAAAAGGCGTTCATGGCCAGTTATGGCCCATACAGAACCTTTGTCCAACAGCTCCACTACAACGCAAGGGATTACTGCACTGCGCACAGTTTGCGCGAAATGTACTACCATGCCAGCAAAGATAGTACTTCCTCGGCCCCAATAGACAAAAATGTTCAACAATTGGCAGACGACGTCAGAGGAGAAGCACCGGCCGATCTTATTGAAATGGCAGCTTTGGCCAGTGCCAACAATATAAAGTTGAAAGTGGTGGACGATCCTCAGTATAAGAAGACTAAAGAAGACATTGCTGATGGTGTTGAGGTGATGTGCGTAATAAAGGACCCAAATGGAGGAATTGGTCATGCTTTGTACATGGACAGCTGTGGCAGTTTCAAGGAGGCTAAGACGCAGGGTTTTGATTGTGTATATGGTGCCGTGAGCGAAATTCTTGAGCGTCGTGGCATTTCGAAATCTGTCGCTGATCTCAGAGCTGTGGTAGCTGACCGTATCGAGTCAAACCCGGCTAGCTTTCATAAGGCGCTCGCTGCTGAAACCTGGATTATAAAGAACAACTCCAACCCAGCCAGTATATTATTCCTGGCAGGATTGTATCAAGATAAGGATGGAAATCTGAAACTTGAAGAAGATGATTTGAAGAAATTAGCCTCACATCTCGTCCAACCCTATAGTAGAAATCGTGGTGGAAATTCTGCAGAAAAATTTAAGGTGAGATTCTCAGACAATCATAAATTTTACAACCTGCGCCTTCGGTAACTTTGTATACAGAATATTAACTGCCCTCAATGTTGTGCTGGTAACTTTGTACACAGACATATTAACTGTCCTCAATGTTGTGCTGGTAACTTTGTACACAGACATATTAACTGTCCTCAATGTTGTGCTGGTAACTTTGTACACAGACCTATTAACTGTCCTCAATGTTGTGCTGGTAACTTTGTACACAGACCTATTAACTGTCCTCAATGTTGTGCTGGTAACTTTGTACACAGATCTATTAACTGTCCTCAATGTTGTGCTGGCAACTTTGTACACAGACCTATTATTCTCAACCAAAACTCACCTACTCGTCTACCCACCACAAACAATCAACAACCTACCTCTCCTGACATTTCCACAGCCTCCGACACTATAGCAAACAACATTACCTGGACTACTCTGACAGAACTTTCATCTGACCACCTACCTATACTACTAGACTACAGAACAAAAACAAACTTCCGACTACAACACCAAACAAAAACATACACTAACTACCACAAAGCCGACTGGGCCTCCTTTTCAACTGAAATAGAATCGGCACTAGAAAACATAGCAGACCCAACCGACATTCACGTCGCAAACAAAACCCTCACAAACATCATAATTCAAGCGGACAAACACAACATTCCCAAAGGCAAGATAAAAACAAATCAACCACCTCTCCCAGACAACATTAGAGCTCTCATAACTCAAAGAAATCATATCAGAACCGCAAATCACAAAGACCCGCAACTACCGCAGTTAAACAGAGAAATTGGCAGAGCCATACAAGACCATTAGACAAATATTTGGAGAGAACACCTGGAGCAACACTGGGACAACAAACACAATAGCCATATACTCTGGAAAACAATACATCAACTATCAAACAAAACCATCCCCACTCAACCAAACAAATCCATTAGTTTCTCAAATAAAATAGCACACACTTCCAAAGACAAAGCACAATCTTTCAACAACCAATTCATAAACATAACAAAACACCAAACCTGCCCTCACTACAGAAAAATAGACAGAAAAATCAAAAACCTACGAAAAGATCAGATGACCATCACAACAGATATGACCATCACTGCAATTAAAAATAGTAAGTCCAACAAATCCACGGGCCCTGATAACATTAACATTCAACACCTAAAACAAGTTGGACCCAATGCAATATCATACCTTACCAGAATATACAACATAGCAATAAACAAAAACATCATCCCAAACCTATGGAAACTAGCCAAGATCATACCCATACCCAAACCCAACAAAGAAACATCCCTAGGCTCTTCCTACAGACCAATATCACTCCTCAGTCCAATCTCTAAAACATTAGAAAAAATCATACTCAACATCATTCAGCCTCTCATTCCACAAATCGCTCACCAACACGGTTCCAAGGGAAATCACTCCACAGTCACAGCCCTACACTCACTTACCCAACATATTACCCGCGGATTCAATCAGAAACAACCACCTTCACGAACCATTACAATAGCACTAGACATGTCCAAAGCTTTCGACACAGTAAACCTACACAAGTTAATAGACAAACTCTCAAAGATTCAAATCACCAACATTAACGAAATACATATCCAATTACATAAAAGGAAGAAAAGGCTACACACTTTTCAATAACACCACTTCCAAACAGCAGAATTTTAAAACAGGCGTCCCACAAGGGTGCGTCCTTTCACCCACTCTATTCAACATATACACCTCAGACCTCCCCACTCCGCCCACAGATGTGCACATGATCACATATGCAGACGACATCACCATTTTCTCATCACACCACAATTACAAAATTGCAGAACAACGTACACAACCATTCCGACAACAGATACACGACTGGACCATCAGAAACAACCTCCAACTAAAGCTAAACGCATCCAAAAGTACAGCCACATTTTTCACACCTGACCCTGCTGAATACAGGAAAATACTAAACCTTACCATAGACAACACCACAATTCCCACCATCACACACCCAAAAATACTAGGAATCACATTCGACCCAAAACTAAACTCCAACACCCACATCCATAACACACACGACAAAGCAACTAAAACAATAAAAATTCTAAAATCTCTCACATCAACAAACTGGGGAAAACAAAAAGAAGTCCTACTCACCACCTACAAAACTATAACACAACCTATAATAGATTGCGGCAGCACCATCTGGTCCCCCAACCTAGTACAAACTCCTACAAACAAACTACAAACGATCCAAAACACAGTACTCCGGATTGCAACAGGTTGTACAGCTGATACTAACCAAAGTCACCTACATACAGAAACAAAAACGCTGCCAATAGACCAGCACCTCAGACTCCATGCATCCCAACTCAGACTAAAAGCTCAAGCACCGACCCACCCACTTCACACTTATACTCAACCTTACAACCCACCCAGACTTATGAAACAAACAGTTTTCACAAATAGAAACTACCCCACTAACATACTCATAGAACCAGATCAAGCCACAACAGAAACACTAAACAGACACAAGAAACAAATACACACTACAATCACAACTAACTACATAGACAATCTACCAAACAATGTTGTACTTTTGGCACCAGCTCCGGCCATAGACCCTTCAGAAACCCAACTACCCAGACACACACGCCGAGCACTAGCACAACTCCGTACAAACAAGTCCTCCCTACTACACCAATACTTACACAAAATAGATCCAGTCACACATCCGTCCCCTCTTTGTCCACTGTCACAGACATGAACACAACACTAACCACTTGTTCGGCTGCTCGGAGCTGGTCACGCCCTTGTCGCCTCTGGTTTTGTGGAGCTCTCCCATCGAGGCGGCGGGACTGTTGGCGCGCTGGGGAGAGAGGTTGGGCTGGCCGCAGGAATGGGTGTAGGCCCCGTCCCGCATTTGTCGCGGGACGGGGAGGGCGAACAACAACAACAACAACAACAACAGACTTATTAACTGTCCTCAATGTTGTGTTGGTAACTTTGTACACAGACATATTAACTGTTCTCAATGTTGTGCCGGTATCTCTTTGTACACAGACATATTAACTGTCCTCAATGTTGTGCCGGTATCTCTTTGTACACATACCTATTAACCGTTCTTAATGTTGTGCCGGTATCTCTTTGTACACATACCTATTGACTGTCCTCAATGTTGTGCCGGTATCTCTTTTTACACAGAGATATCAACTATCCTCAATCCTGTGCGTATCTAAAGGCTAGGGGCCGTGCTATCAAAAATAGGAGCAAGTTCGTAACACCGCCAGTCAATCACTGACATCTTTTGAAGCAAAACCGACTAATCACAGAGTAAAAATCAGCCGCTCCGTGGACTTAAGACGTTAACGTGTACTCGAGAGCGTTTTGATAGTACGACCCTGGTAACGAGTCACCTTCAGTAGACAACGGGTTAGCCTTTTTATTTTTAATTCTCTAAGTTTTGGTTTATCATTTGCATTTGGAATCTCTTGTACTAATATTAATTACATGGCAAAGGAACAGACCAGAAATTTACATTCACAATGAATGATAGTTTGATGCGTTTGATGCCTAAGAGGGTCAAAAGCGGAATTTACAATAAACCATATTAAAAACAAGCGTAGAAAATCATTAAATTTAGTTCACTGATCAAATTCGTTGGGTTATGTCTCTGTCCTCTATTTGCATATTTCATACTGTGATGGTAAATCTTCAAATGGTGATTTAAGGGGGGCGTCTTCCCTAAAGTTTTCTGATTTGACTTTTCCGGTTTTTAGTCTCATCTTAAAGCTGACATTCTGCCCTATCCAACGGTACCATTACCACCTTTGTACGTTGATTTATACGTTCACGACTGATCATGAAAGGGAGGGGGGTGGGGGAGTTCTTTAACAAATAGAATAGGAGGAAATTCGCTGCGAGCACTCTAAATAGAGTGTCTGCTTGAAGTGCACCTTAGTTACCCGCCTGGCGTCGTATGAGGAGGTGTGCATGCAGACACTCCCACCATCCTTGACTGGAATCAAGCTCCAGTAACGTTTAGTTTTGTATCCTTGCTACATTGAGTGCCTATTGCGATGCGCGCGGGACTTTGTCGCGCACTCCTGAACATTAACACTTATTGTCACGGCAAACCTATCTCCTCCTAGAGTTTTGAAGCTACAGCGATGAGGCATATACCATTCGATTCGTAAAGACCATACCTATCGAGTAACGAAGCCCCTTTTTTAGATTTGTGCATAGCTTGGATTCAAAATGGGGGAGGGGGGGGGGAAATCTGAAGAAAATGAGAAGAAAATGGGAAAATTCGTGTAAAAAAAATCCCGCAAAAAATGCAAAAATCAAAAATCGGGCTTCGTTACTCGATTGGTATGGTCTTTACAAATCGAATGGTATATCTTTCAATGCTGTAGCTTGAAAATTGTAGGAGATAGATTTTTAAAGTACCCCCTTTTTTGTCCGTTTTCTATGAATTTTACGTTTTCTATTAATTTTTCCGAAAAAATCATACGAAAAAAATCTGCTTGTATTTCGAATTTACATATATGTGTAAAGTTTCAGAAAGATTCGTTAGTAAATGTGGAAGTTTTCTGGAGGGTAGATGCCCTCCTTAATAATATTCAAGGTAGAAATGAAGAATTATTTGTGGTATATGAGTAGCGGAGCTAAAATGGCGATCGTGGCTCGCCATCTGATGAAGAGGTGTAAGATGAAGTAAATGATTTCGGTTTTTGAGATGATTTGGGCTTCTTGTACTTTTTCCCCGTTGGTCGCCCAAAAAAACCTACTGAGGGTATTATTAATCCATTTTGAAATATAATTAAAAAGTTTAATTTTGATTTTGCCACTTGAATAAACGATAATATTGCAGTAAAGGTTACACACTTACTAAAGCAGAGTAAATTGGGTACGAACTTGAAAATTTATGGAAACCGCAGCCTCAGGTATTATCTTTTTGATACGTTTAAAGTTTTTAACATTATTCGTGTCAGTAGGCATTGTAACGGTTATAACCACCAGTTTATAAATAGCTTAATAGGTTTTTGATTACTCGTATATTAGCATGGATTGTATTGATATTTAGTATTCTTCTCACATTGCAGATACGAAGATGCAAAGGCATTGATCCCAAAACGGGCAAGCCTGACGTAACGGAGGAATCTCGCCATCACATCGTCCCTTGGGGAAAAACGTGGAAAGCTCTGATAGAAGCTTACAAGAATGATCCTGTCGAATTAAAAAGTAATCTTGAAAAATATATTAATCAGCCAATTATCAAAGAAATATTCAGCACTCATTTCCTGGACTATAATAAAAGAGACGGTAATGGTAATGTCCCCATGACGAAGGTGAGAAAAGATTTGACTGGCGAACGACTGGCTTCTGTTATTTGCTGGCATCCTAACAATAATGTTTGGGGTCCTAAGTCTTATAAGCGACATGGCGAACCCCGTTCTGGATTTGATCAAGAATTGTGCGACGTTCAAACTAGAGAAAATCAAGTTAACTTGAGAGCAGCTTTCAGAGCCATCGAAGAGGGTAAAATTGGAGAGTTCTTTGAAGCTTTAGGAAAATTAGATACTCCGTTTGCAGAATGGCATTTAAATAATGGTAAATATAGCGCTAGATATTCCAACCCCGAATTTCGTGAAAATTCCAACATGTGATAGTTGTTCATTTGAGCTCTCATTAGAACATAATGGTATTTGCGGCTTTAATTTCATATTATATTATATAATTTCCTCGCATTAATCACTCTGATTATATCTTGCCATAGACCTAATATTTAAACAGAATTGCGTTGTTTTTTATTCAAGTGAAAATGCAGTGAATCATCTTCCCTGATTATTTGAGCTGTAAAAATATTAAAAGTAAACATTATATTCCCTACAAGGTTTTTTAGCGCAGCTGCAGAAAATGTGATATCCGCTATAAAATTGTGTGTATACGCTAGTGTGTTCAAGAGAAGGAGAATATAAATCTGTCTTTTTCATTTCAAAACCTAACCAGGCCTAAAATACTCAAATAACTAAGAGAACTTAGAGAGGCAAATAACGTGTATAGCTTTGATACAGCGTAGTAATAGTTTGATCAATATTGTTAGTTACAAACATTAACACTGATTCAGTATAATGTGGCCTCAATGTGGGTTGAAACATAAAACCAGTTAATTTAACTTCAATATGCTGATGAATCTTAAGAAACTAGCCCCACGGTACTTAAGTCCTAATGACCTCACTGTCCTTAAGACCTAATGACCTCAATGTCCTAAAGACCTAATGATCTCACTGTCCTTAAGACCTAATGATCTCACTGTCCTTAAGACCTAATGATCGCACTGTTCTTAAGACCTAATGAAGTCCTTTTATTCTGCAAAATTGAGCATGCTGAATAACTAGCTATGAACATATGGCTATCAGGCTATATAACCTTAAGCTCTGAAGTTCATAGGTTGTTCTTCCCTCTTCAAAACATACAAACATAATTACCTATAACATACCCGACCGCGTACGGTAATCATTTAGAGCAGTTATACTGTAACAGAAACACGATGTATGACCAAATGTATGTAACTGTTGTCTGCTGAGATTCATAGGCAGAGGTAATAGAATCTTGTGAGGGACAGGTTTTTTCTTGGCAAGAATACCAGATTGAATAGCTCAAAATACCTGAAATTCTATTGTTCGAAAGCAGACTAATGTACCTCCAAATTTAATGAAACTATTCGTCAGAAACGGTGATTAGAAAAAGAAAAGAAAATTATCCTAGGTACTGTGTAGTTATCTGGAGGAAGTTCAAACTTCAGAGGTGGAACTTAATGCAGTAAATTTGCAGTAAGTCAGAAAATACCAGATTTACCAGAATACCAGATCTAAAACATTCATACCAGACACATCTTGAAAATACCAGATTTGTGAAATCTGATATAGAAATATACACCGTGGTAACGCTGGTGAGGGATAATCGATCACTTGACTGCTCACCATCTCATATCAGATTGTCAACATGGTTTTATTGCCGGCAGATCCTGCACCACTAACTTATTATCTACGTTGAACGAGTGGACTCGCCTGCTGGACGAAAGAGAGCCAGTGGATGCATTGTACCTCGATTTTGCCAAAGCATTTGACAGTGTTCCGCATGAGCGGCTGTTGCGTAAAGTGAAGTCTTTGGGAATTGAGTGAAACGTACTCCAATGGATCAGAGATTTTCTAGTAGGTAGACGACAACGTGTCAGCATTAACGGAACCGTGTCAGACTGGGCCTATACTTTCAAAAAAAGTTAAGAGATCGTAAGTTCATCAGCCAATCATAGACGGCCTTTCAAGCAAAATCCACCAATCATAGACAAGAAAATAGAGCGTAAGTACTTACGTTCACTTATTTCACTTAATCATAGACAAGAAAATAGAGCGTAAGTACTTACGTTCACTTAATCATAGACAAGAGAATAGAGCGTCAGTACTTACGTTCACTTAGCGAGTTTTGTAAGTATGGCCCCTGGGCATCAGTGCGCAGTGGCGTGCCACAAGGAGTACAGCTGGACATGGAGTACAACTTATTCAGCCAGCAACAATTGATGGTGGGCTTTGAGTTATTACTAGGTAGCATAAAATACTTTATGTATTCACTCGAGTTGTGACTTTTACTTGTTACTTGTTTCCCTTCTGGTTAGATTCATTTAACAATAAATATTTCACTTTTTATTTTTAAACTGCTGTTAGCTCATAACCTTAGTTAAAAATTAAGGAAATTGTCGCCAAGGAATTCTATGCATAACAAATCTATCAAACAGATAAATAAACTATGAAAACAGAAGTATGAAAAAAAATTTCTTGACAGTATGTAAAGAAAAGTGTCCTTGAAGAAACACAATCAATATTGTCATCATGACTTGTTTTTTTATAAAGCAATTAAACCTTTTTGTTATTGAATAATACCAACTCACTCATTCTGTATATGGGAAACTGCAGGCTTCATGTACATTATAAGCGATTATCACGCAATGAAGGGTGCGCGTCTGAAAAAAATCCACCGTGTTGCAGATAAATAAACAATTCCTGAACATTTTTTATTACCCTGCCCAAGAATCTTCCTGTTAGTATTTCAGATTAAGGGCTATTGCACTCCTGAATAAGGAGTCTACGAGGGGTGAACCTAATCATGTGTTATTCTACCAGAGTTTGGATGTAAATCATTTTAATCCACACACGGCACGCGGCTATGCGAGATACGTTGTGTGGTGAGGCGCGGGCAATCAAAACTCACGAGGACTTGTCCGTAGACTATATTCATTAGTTGCGAAGTCTTGATCACAGAGCATGCGGTACGCATCAGAGTATAGGGGTAACATATCTAAACTGGCACATGATTCATGTTATAATGTTATATGATTTTATAACGCTGAAATGCGTAGACCATTATTCATTTAATTACGTATGAGTTTAATAAGCCCTTAATAATTGCAGTTATATGTAAGCTTAATCAGCTTCTTCAGAAAATCGCTTGAGATTGAAGTATTCGAAAATTACCAGCCTCTCTTCATTGTTGATGCAAGTCAGCTTGACCTCATAATATTGGTGTCGTATATGACACCAATAAATTTTACCATACAATGAAAATTACCTTATTGTGAGCATTTTCTGTTAGGCGTATAAGTTATCTATTCTTTGCTGCAGCCGCTGAGCGTTCGTAGAGTTGTGGTAGATAAATTGCAGCAGGCATACGGTTTATATCAATAGTTTAGTTATGCATTAAAAAGATTGAATGTCGTGTGTGATCAGTAATGGCGGTATATCAAGTTCATTTGCTCAAACCTGTTCACTTATTTGATCCTTAAAGTATGCTCTTTACTATTTTTAATCCCTGATTTACCGTTCTGGTAATAGGGCAAATTCGGGAGTACTCCCAGTATATAACCGATGGATTATGGTCACTGAGTAGAGTATAGTGAATGCGATATACTGCGAATGTGTCGTTAATAATTTTCTGTAAAATATTTCTAATATAAATATTATTAATCATATTAAACAGACAGAATTTTTCTTTAAATTTAATCCCGACCGTACTGAAATTGCTCATTTATTAGGTATGAAATTTCTCGCACTCAATATAGAGTAAGTAAGCCTTAAAGCGAAGTAAAACTAATTAGGATAACATTTCTTAACTAACATGTATTATATCTGCCCTTTTTACCCCAAACTATCACTAAAATGAATTTTAAGTTAAAATAAACAGGAAATATAAGTTCGTTTCCCTGATCCGTATGGGCTGGTTCTCCAAATGCATCCTTAATTTAATTAAAGTAATTATAAGATCAATGTTCCCTAACTTCCAGACTGTACATTAATATTGGTAATTATATAATACACTACCATTTCAGATTTATTTCATTAACATTGTAAAAATTTCGTATAACAAAGTACTTAAATTAATCATTTTGTTCATCTAATATCCCTGTAACATTCAACAATTCAAACATTTATATTATTTATGTCGACTCATTGTCTGTAATCAATAAATCGCAGGCTTTATATACAAGATTGTTTTCCACGGACAATTTGCTTACTTATGAAATACAATTTCTGACGAAGAGAGTTCAATTTTATTTCTGTAATTCATCATGTAATTCGATGACATCGTTGGCGCTCCAAGTATGAACGCGTTCAAGAACAAACTAGATAAAGCTATGGAAAAATATATGTTCAGATAAAGCTATGGAAAAATATATTTTCAGATAAAGCTATGGAAAAATATATGTTCAGATCTAGCTATGGAAAAATATATGTTCAGATTTGAAATGCCTAGCTCCTTATCGAACCCGGTGGAAGTCTGGTAGCTACTTCAAACTATCGTCAGTCCTGAAAAGATCCGGTCAAATGACACGATTTTAGATCTTCTGTGAACAAGGCACGAAAAGGAAAAGAATCGGCGACAGGCCACATCAGGCCTACACTTCAGCGCCGAGATCACTATGTTATGTTATGTTATGTTATGTTATGTCAATAACGTATTACACGCACTAATAAACTGTAGTAATGTTGTCTGTACACAGGACAATCGGAATACCGAACTCAGTTCATGTATATTATATTGCTTCTAACTCCATGGATAACTCAGATATATCTGAAATTGCTCACTATTTTTTATAGCACTTTTCTTCAAATTCACTTCTTGTTGTTTGATTGTTTGTCTTCTACAAATCTTATAATCGATATTGATTATAAGATTTATTGATGTGACCTTTACCATCGATCTGAAGTTTTGCATACTTTCGTAAAGTTGTGGACAATGCAAGAATCAATTGAACGAATGAATAATTTTGAAAATTTACAAAATTTTTATAGAGTAAAAAATGCAAAAATTTATTTTTTAATATATGAAAATAAAACTTTAAATTCATTGTATATGTGTAACATCAAAGACACTGGATTCTTTAGAAGTGTTGTCTTTTAAAAATAATTTTTAAACGCATAATATTCGACTCTAACTCAAATGCTAAGTAGTTACTTGCGTCATCCTTCAAAGTAACTAACAATTGTAATATATTAGGCTTAAATGAATTAATATTTCTGCTTTTTCTTAAAAAAAGATGGCGTTCAGCTTGGAGAGAAGTGACTGTGCAATATATGAGCGAAACTTATAAAGAGGTAGCCGTGGACTCTTTTAATAAGTTGCGGACTCTTGATCATAAAGCACGTGGCAACACATTAGAGTATCGGGGTAACATATCTACTCTGGCATATAACATTTCGGTCATTTGATTTGCTAACGATGAAACACGTAAACTATTTAAGAGCTTACAGAGCCCCGATGATTGGCAGGTAAATGCAAGCGTAATCCAACACCCATTTCTGCTTCGTCAAAAGT